TCAATAGCTTCCAGGAATATACAAATAATGCTAGATTGAGACTGGGTAATGTTTCCACTTCTAGAAATCTTGGAGGAGAGTCAGTCTCACACCGAGCACATACACCAAGTAGGTGTTTCCAAAAGACAAACTCGGAATCTTTAGGATGCCAGCTGAATGAGAGGGAGAAAGGGAGGGAGCAAAGGAAAGAAGGAAGATCCACCATAGATGAGAATCGTCTCATGAATGCGTGGTCACACATATAATATATATCATGGAAACTGAAAACCCAAGCTCCTTATTATCAAGCTGACTGCAACTCAGGGTACGATGGAAGCCAGCCCTAAAAGAATAGTCAACCCTATGAATTGAGTTGTCTTATAGTGAGGCTTACTGTGTATTTATTTTCATGTCTGATCTTATGAAATAGTCCAGTAAATTTCCTATTACAATGAGGGGAAAAGGTATGCTATAGACCCTCTCTTTCTTCTTTAACTACAAGACCTTGGGTGTGAATTGAGGTTCTAATTTGTCAAAATGGAAAACTGATCTTAATTTTTATTTGTAAAATAAATTTTTTATTTTGTAATATCACCATTAAAACCTACCTATTTAGTATTTCAATATTTTAAGTAGAATTCCCATGGAGTGGTTTTTGTTTTTTGTAATATCACCATTAAAACCTACCTGTTTAGTATTTCAATATTTTAAGTAGAATTCCCATGGAGTATTTTGGTTGTTTTTTTTTATAATATCACCATTAAAACCTACCTGTTTAGTATTTCAATATTTTAAGTAAAATTCCCGTGGAGTGGTTCTTCTTTGTGGTTATAGATAGTTACTTCATTGGTCGCCACCCCCACCCCTACACAAAGAAGTATTTGATGCTAGTAAAATTAACGTAATTATATTGCTGATCCTATTGTATATTTATTTGATATCATAAGTAAATATAAATCTAGGACTAAGGAAAATTGGAGTCAAGTTTGGAGATATGTGGTAATAAAGGATCACATACTGAGAGTTTTTTTTTTAAGTTTATGAAATACAGTTAGTCAAAGCTGATCAGTCGTTAGAGTTTACTATTGTGCTCTCTGTGGCTCCTCTGTCCCCACTATGTACGTCTGTGTCAGCACTTTGAGACTTTCCTGCAGTGATGGATTTACACATCTGCTCCTATAACTAATCTGTAAGCTCCTTAAGGATGGCACTCTATCATTTATAATCTTCAGATCCAGCTTCCACCACAGGGCACGAGTCACTCAGTCAGCATTCCGTAAAAGATTGGAGGGATGAGAGCAAATAGAGTTCATCTTTTGTTACTCTGAATAGATACCAATTTGTAGCTGCCAAGAGCATATCTGATTTACTTGTATACATCCTAGACCAAATAATTTGGGGGCTTTTTAAGATTTAGTTCTTTCAATTACTAAAGATGAAAATTTTGAGTAGTGTGTTAACAGACTTCACTAAAGAAAATAAAATTTAAATTTTGCTACTTATTGTGTCACTGGGGATGCAGACACCTTAAAGGAAAATAATATATATATATATATCCTTATACCTCAGAAATAAACAAAGAGGCTCTTTTACATAATCCTCAACCCTCTTGGTTCTGCATTTCCAAAAAATGGTCTTCAAGAAGTTCATGGGAATTATATTTAGTTGGTCACCATTTTCAAGCTTCTCGCTTGGGGTATCACTTTACGTTGGCTCTGACCTGTCTAATGAAATGGAAAGTGAATACTGCTCTCCGTGTGATAGCATCCAAATGAATTATTATTTTTCCTTTTTGTAGCAACTTTCCAGAGGGTCTGAGTTCTGTCTGTGTTCATAGTAAGTGTGTAAATAAGTACTTTTTCAGGAGAAAGACAAAATAAATCTAAGAGGTTTTTTATGACCTTGTGTAAAAAATATATAGAATTTAGGTGAACACATTCCTTGACTGTACATTTATATTTATTGAATCTTAAATTTAGTGTTTTTATTTATACATTTTTCACTTTCTTATGTCAGTAGTCTTATACAGGATAACCTGTTATTTTCTAGGATAAGAAATGCTGTACTCATATAATTACTAAGACCCAACCATCAATATCTCTTCTTAAATCATAATACACTTTTATCTATATGTACTCAAATGCCAGTCAAGGTAGTAAAATTCTGGGGCCACATCAGTATTTGGCAAAATCACAATTAAGGCTAACATGTTTTTTAAGGTATATTTCAAGTGAGAAAGGCTATAATACAGGGGGATAATAATTTTTTTCTTAACAGTTTTATTGGCACATAATTTATGTATCATAAAATGCATTATTCCAAGAGTTCAATCATATCAAAGGTCCATGAACAGTCACCACCACATGAATCTTAGAGCTCCTCCCCCATTGGATAAATCGCCTTTAATGTGAGTTGTGCAGATAATAATGATCATATTAAGACTTTTTTTTTAAGATAAACGTGGCCTAACTCTTCAATTTGCAATGACAGGGAGTTTTAGAGAAGATGCTTAATTGTATGAACAGGTGACAGGCTACTCCCAAAGTAGACATCACCCCAGATTTTTCAATGTGGATGAAACAGAGCCAAACTCATGGTTGTCCAGTAAGTTGCAAGTCATACCCTCTGGCGCAGGATCGCATTGCTCCACGGGGCTCCCAGGGCGGTGCATTTTTATCGACACACGTCGCCACATTGGCTGCCTGCAAGGCAACTGGTGGGTCGAAGTTCTGACCTGTGTTTAGCCACCATGCACCTTAACCACTGAATCACCAGGGCATCTTTGAAATATTTATTTAAAAGCCAGGAAAAATGATTTAAGGGAAAAAATTAAAAACAGCATTCTATAATGTAAGTATTATAATCTCACATGTTGGCAAGTTCTTTTTAAAAACCAGAACTAGGCCCAAAGTGTTCATTTTCTGTTCATAAATAAACAAAATGAAGATGTGGGTGCAATTAAGATAAGACTGGTGTACAGTACAGGACAGTAGAATCGTGTTTGTAGATGCCACATATGATTTTATAGTGTGTGCTGTAGCAGTACATATTTTCCTGTTCTTTATTAATAGTCTTTAAGGTAGTTGCCACAATGAACCTCCCATGGGTTTTTCTTTTTCTGAGATGTGATCAGGCACTCACTGCTGAAGAAACACAATAATATAGAGTTTAAGACAGGTTCACAATAAATCTTTGAAAGTCTAGCCGATCAGTGCATTTCCTCTACAAAAATTCATATATTTAAATCCTTATAACTATATATTCTTGATATTGTGCCTAGGCTAGACTATCATAATGATTCTCATTAACATTTTATAATTTGTATGACATGTACTCGTGGTTTCCCTAATTATGAAACTTTCGCACACCATAGCATTTCAGACAAACTATTTTCTACAAAAAAGAAGTCACTGAGCACAATTGGCAGATTAACAAATGTTAAGATACATATTTTTCAGTTGATTTCATGAAATTGAATTCACATAATCAGTGGATTTGTGGATGTTCCTAAGAAGCTTTTATAAAAATTTAGAAATATTTTTCAATAAAAGGTCTGTATGCACTAATCAAAGTGAAATTAAATTCTATCATGAATGTAACTGCATGTACTGAACAAAAATGTGTGTGTGCATGTCTGTTTGCGTGTGTATGTGAGGTGACCCAGTATAGCATTTGCAGTTACACTTGCAGTGCTTGGTATGTTTAAGAGGACTGTTGCCAAAAATGTGTACCTCCAGCGCTTTAAAATAATTCTTTTCCAAATCTCTCTTTTAAGGTTAGCTTGGGAATGCTTGCTAAAAATTAGCTCATAAATATTTCATAGAAGCTCAACTAAATTACTGCTTGAATATCAGGCTATCTATTTTAATGGTCTGGAACAAGAAAGCATTTACTTCAGTTCTCTGTCAATGAAACACTGTTCTGTAACTAACCCATCACAGTGTTTGATGTATCAAAGGAGTACCATATCAATCTTCTTCATGCTACCAAAATAGAATTTTAAATATTAGTGTCCAACTTGAAAGTATGAAAATTACCATATAATGTATATGTTTTTCAATAGTATTTGATTGTAATTAAATAAAAATATGCTGGATTTAGGGCTGGATGTTTCCATACAAATGTTATTAAAAGTCATATATTTCATACGAGCACACTGAATTGCTTTAAGTATGCATGTAATGACAACGATTGTCAGTGTCTTTTAGTAATATGCTTGTAAACCCAATTTCTTTTTTAAAATAGCTCTATTTTCAACAAAGGGAATTGTCTTCTAAATCAAAATAGTCATTTTACAAAATATAAATAAAACCCCCAAATAATGTAATTCTCAAATAGGCCTAATCTTCCCAAATGTCACTGAAACTTTAAAATGATTAGATAGAATTTATTTATAAATTTTACAGAGTAATATAGGTATCAAATTAGTGTGAAAACAAAATGCTATTAGTAATAGTATGGACCATATCTTTATAAAAGTATTAGTCCTGAAACAAGTGTTGAAGAACACAAAAATTGCCAGGTGACAAGGAACATGAAATTAATGTCTTACGGGACTCAAGCTAGATTTTTCCTTCTTTCATCTTTACCAACTTTACTTTGTCATTCTGCACTCTTTGTTTTTATATAATTTAGAGCAAAGTATTTTGTTGAAAAATCTTCATTGGTATTGTGATTTTTGGAACAATATAAAAATGTTGCCATCCATGCATAGCTATGGTTTCCTTTTTTTTTTTTATTTAGCAGATTTCTTATATACTGCAAAATGAACAGAGATTCGTGGTGAATTTTAAAAACAATTTTAACATGCAACGTTGATTTGTTTGCTTTAAGGAGTCTAATTTTATGTGATGATTATCTTAAAATATGCAACTCACTAAAATTGTGATATTTGTCTTTCATAAATAATGTTGAAACTAATTTTCACTTTACTATTTTTATTTTCTTCTAGGATAGCAAAGTAATACAATGTATGTGCATACAACAGAAGTATTATTTATACGTATTTTTTTTAATTACAG